TCCTTTTGAGCAAAATAAGACTCATTCGCATGTAAGGATAATTTACCAATCACCATAACCAAATGCATTAATCCAACCACCGATAGAATGGTACAGATCATACGGTTCATGATGTTCAATAAAATCCCTTCACCAATCTAAGCATCCTACCAAGTAATAAAATTATCGACAACACAATTTTATCACTCGTATGGATCTTAGTATTATAGGTTTAGTTGTGGGAGAATGAACAATTTAAAAACGCAAAACTATTTGACATGTTCCGACTTACGATAAACAAGTACATGAACATTCAACCTCGTCATTTTGTCACAATTTAACATGCTATTTTAATTTAACAAATAAGATGACAAATTAATGGCATTCAAATATCAAAACAAACCGGCTTAGAGAAGCCTATGAAAAAAATATTTGATCAGTGTGAGAATTAACCACAAAAATATATTCAAACAATACAAAGTATCCATAAGTATGGTCTTAGTGTGGTTAAAATGTCAAATAAATAGTATGGATAATTAGTAAATGAAATTTGAAGCAAAACAGTGAAAATAGGGCATAAATCAGACATCTCACGCGCACCTTTTTTTCTTTTTTTTTTGGTCCTGTCGTTTTGGGACATATGGAAATGACACGTCGTTTCACTAACGAGCAGCCCGTGAACCTTGCAAATGACATGTCGTTTTGGGACATGTGGGAAACGACATGTCGTTTCACTATCAAGACAACCCAATGAACCTCGCAAACGACATGTCATTTTTCACATGGATGGAAAAATGACATGTCGTTTTGATCTTCTTCCCTAACCTCTGAAACTTTGCAGATTGGGTCCGATCAGATCCGTGCCCCGCCCCGCCGGAAAAGTGAGTTCCGGTTGTCCATTTTTTATGTTTTTGGATGGGTTTTGCTTCAAATTTCATTCTCTTTAGCTTTCAACCATCAATTTCACTCAAAGAGCCATAAAAATAAAATAAAATAACCCCCATGAAGAACATGGACGTGCAGCAAACTCAAAAAAAGGAAAAAAAAACCTACAACTTCAAATCCAATAAGTTTGCTCTTATACCATTCGCTAGAAATAATAGGTTCTTAAGAGATTAAAAACTAATTGAATCCAAAAACACACTATCGAATCTTGAAGCATATAGAAAAATTGATGGTTTTTTTTTTGATTTACCTCCTGCTCCTGCTGCCGGCAACGGAACAACATCAGTCATTTTGGCCAGAATCCTATCAGCAACCTGAGAAAACCAAAGGAAGCTTGGAGGGGTTTTTGAACTCTTCTCTTCTCATCCTCTCTCCACACCCACGCAGACCACGCCATTGACATGCACACACCCACACGGGGGTTAAAACCAAAATCTCCTTTTGGTTTTATTTCTGTTGTCTGCCCCTTACTCAAAATGGGCCCATTTTGGGCCTTAACGAGAAGGTTGAGATAGAGAGAGGAAATTTGGCCCAATAGGTTGACTAAATATTTAGAGAGAGTGAGTTCAAGGGCTCACACACATTAGTGATAAAATTATCCATCCTATTATGACTCTTGTTATAATACCATGCATAAACCATATTACAATATATAATTGTCCATAAAGCCATGTTCTAATTTGTGATATATTGGGTGAATTAACAATGATTTGTGCTAGTCCATATAAATATTTCAACAGGCTTGATATATCGTGCTTGTCCTAATATCTATTTTAAATCATGACTTGACATGTTTCTTCCTCAAAATTCATATCTTACTAGTTTAGATACAAAATCAAGATAGGTAACTAGCTAAATTAAAAAGAGGACTTGAGAGAGAAACGTATTAAAAAGGAGGAAAAGAGTGAAATCTGATTTTTATTGTATTTCTTACAACTTAGGGGCAGGTGTAAGCACCACAAAAAGACAGCAGCAAATCAAGTTTAAGCTTTATAAAAAGTACCTCAGAAAACTCAATAATCACACTAGAACCTTAAAAACATAAATCTATTCCACATAAGTCCGTGGAGAACTTTTATAATAACCCTCGTAATGTAAATATAATCAAATTACCCTTTTCTCATATTTAAAATAACGTTGGACCAAACACAACGATCAACTTCTCTTCCGCCGGTTATTAGCTCTTTTCTATTGAGTTACTTAAAACCATATAGTTAAGTATATAATTTTAATCACATAAAAAATACACGTAAATTAAAAATAGTTCTAATATCATAATTTTAATTCATGAACTAAACATCTTCTTAGTGATTGAAGATTTTATTAAGGAGGGGAACTTAGAGGGAGTTAAGCAGTAGTAAATAAGGCGATTTGGATCTTTAATTTCAATCACAAATCTCTTCTTTACTCTCCAACTTCTCACTTCATCAAACGACATCCTCCAAACCTCCACTCTGATTGGAATAACAAATTGAACGGACCAACTTCAACAAAACTAAAGAGAAAAAAGAAACAACCCTATTAGACTTAATCTACCTTTATCTAAACTGAGAATACAAGAAGCAAAAACGAAAAAAAAATCCCATATCAGAGACAAATTCTTCAAAGCATAATCAGGGAAAAAAAAAAAAAAGTTATTTAAAGCAGAACATTGAGAGAAAAAGACCCAAATTATTTTGAGGGTTTTTTAACAAAACCAAGCCCAGATTTTAGTCCCATTCGATCAAGAAGACCATATATTTCGCATTCACATGGGATCATGAACTAATCTCCTTCCTGTTCACATGAGACGACAAGACAACAATAAACTAGAAAATTCAAAATTTGGTGTTACAGTGACAATAAAATATGTTAAATTGACATATCATATCCATTTTAAAGCATCACGTGGCTGTCACCTGAAGAAAATATGTTAGATTTTTAATACCGTTTTCAATTAGACTTAGCCAAGATTTTAAAATTTAAAAAGTAAGTGTAAAAAATTTTAGTATCCACCAAATACGAAAAACTAAAGGAGATCTCAGGCAGAAAAGCCTAATAATTAAGCAAATAATACTATGTTACAATCACTCTTTTGTTATAACTAACATAATAACACAATCTTCTCACCATACATCACACAATCATGCATTCCTTTTTTTTTTTTTTTTTTTTTTTTTTTTTTTTTTTTTTTTTTAAAGGGAATATAAAATATTATTAATGAACCAAACCAGCTATATTAGCCGCAATACAACTGTGAATACAACTAGGAAAATTATCAAACCAAACACAATCCCTTCTAAAGGGGAAAAAAACATAGAATCTATTAAACAAATTGTTGAATCAAATTTGCAGTACTTCATGGAACTGTTCATAGTGCGATTATTCATGTCCTTATCACTCCTGACAGATAATAAGAAAATATCGCATATAAATTTCTCATCGACTTGCATTGATCAATAGTTTAAAAAAAAAAAAAATACAGTCACTCCATATAAATACGAAAAGTGAACTGGAAAAGATAATTAGGCTACATGCCACCTTACTATCTATTTGATTGACTGTTGCCACACTTAAAGAACTCCTGCTATAAATTTCAATTTGCTCACACTAATTGATTTGTGAAGACAAATATGCCTTGGAGATTTTATGAATCATCTCTCTTTTTTTTTTTTTTTTTTTTCCATTTCCTTCTGTTTCTCCTCCCAACATCTCTCTTCCACCACTAATTCTGCCTACTACCCTAGATCTCCAATCGTGCCGTTACCCTCATTAACGAAGCCGAGTATTTTTATTAGTGGAGGCTAATTATTAAGACAAAAAAATTTATTGGGGGTTATAAGATTAAATTTTAGTGGGATTATGTATATATTACTATGATACAGTATATATTTAAGTAATATTTAAAAAAGAAAAAGTATTTATAGACCTGTGAGCCTTAATTAGATCTCACCCTAAGAGGCCAATTGAATTCTTTTTTTTTTTTTTTTGTGATTTTGTTAATATCCCGGAAAAAGACCAGTAAGTGAGATATTTAGACAATATGTCATAGCTTTTAAAGTTAGATTGACTTTCATACTATTATAAAATATACCCCACTAAATCATTTAAGTTTTGTGTATTGAATAAAATTATGCTTGTATTTTTGTGTCTTTGATTCAATATTTTTAAATTTTGTAAGATTTTTGTAATTTTTTATGTATATATTTGTGATTTTTATAGATTTTATGATTTTTAAGTATCTTAAGTTATGGTATTCTCTTCAATAGTTTATGTCTCTTGACATATGTCAATCCAAACCTAAAACTTGTAGTGTTCTTGAAAACTGTAAAGTGCCCGTTGGAGTTTTCAGTAGCACAACAGACTACTTTTAATGTCACTGTAGGATACTGACAATTTCTAATAAGCCATTTTCAAGTATCTTAAAATAAGAAAAATGAGACAAATACCCATTTAAATTGCATCAGTCTTAATTTTTACTCCTTACTCTTGATTATCACTCTTTTAATTAAATATTATATTAATTAAAAGAGTATAATTTAAAAATATGAGGTAAAAATCTAAACTCATGCACTTTTAAAGATATAATACTTAAGTTTGAAATTCTATATATATTAGTGTGACATTAATTTGAGAGTTTTATTATTAACATTGTTATCATTATTATTATTTACAAAAACCAATCTAACACCATGGCTGTAACATTTGTGTAAAGATCTAATTTCAAAAGAAATACATAAACATCACTGAAATAATATCATTTTTGTTTATGCCACCCAGTGAATCTATTGAAATTCAGTGGCATAAATGTAAAACTATTATATTTTGGTAGCTTGTCTGGTAATTTCTTAGAAACTATGGATATATTTGTGTAAAGTTCCCCCTTAAAAAGGAGTTTTCTGGGCCTAATGCGCTGTACAGAGCGAGCCCAGCCCAGCCCATGATTGGAAACTCGAAAATTGCACCATCCATTTCCGCCACCTCCATCTCTCTGTCTCTCTCTCATTCATTCATAAGCAAACACGAAACAACATATATATATATATATATATATATATATATACATATATAAATATATACACACGCACACACTTATCTCTCTCTCTCTCTCTCTCTCTCTTCGTGTGTTGTTGTTGTCTCTCGGTGCAAACCAAAACCATTACTGGGTGGTTGGTTCCTCTTTATTTTAAAGACCGAGAATCCAGCTTCGCCCGTCGTCCAAATTCCAAAATTCGTGAGCTCATATCATGTCCGTTTCTCTCTCCTTTTTTCTTTTCTTTCTTTTAACATCTTCTGTTAATTGTTCACTGTTTTTCTTTCTCATTTGTTGCTTGTTTTTTCATCTGGGTCGGCTTCTCTTTGGACTTTTATCAAGCTTCTTATCATGAATTTTGCTATAAAACTACGCAGTTCAGGTGATTTTAGCATTATGGAAACATGTTTTTCATCATTCATTCTGTTTGGTCTTTTGAATTTCAATTCTGTTTATGAAATTGACAATTGTGACAAAGTGGGCTTTGTTCTGTGTATTTCATTGGCTATATTTAGTCTTCTTTCCTTGGATGAAAGCTTCATATGGAGAATTATATCATTCAATAATATTGATGGAAGTGAACTACTGTGGATGTAAAACCAAGGAGAAAATATCAGAAAGAGTGATTTATTTGGTTAAAACTCTTTTTTTTTTTAACATTAATTAAGCCAGTTGTTGGAGGGTCTTAAGCAGTTTTTGCTTTATGGGAATTGCAGGATGGGAAGGCTTAAACTGAAGATAAAGAGATTAGAGAACTCTAGCAATAGACAAGTTACTTACTCGAAGCGAAGAAATGGGATAGTGAAGAAAGCTAAGGAATTGTCTATTTTGTGTGACATTGATATAGTTCTTCTCATGTTTTCCCCAACTGGAAGGCCTACTTTGTTTCAAGGGGAACGCAGGTACTGCAACTAGAGAAGTTGTCCCATCATACTTTATTTTACTTCATATATATAATTGTTGCTAAACTAAAATGTAGGTGGGAGATTAGGGAGACAAAATTGAAAAATGGGGACATTTAGAAGTGAAAATGATTCTATGTGTCCATTTATTTGTTTTCCTGGCAATGTTTAGACAAAAATGAACCCTGAACTCTTTTTTTCTCAAGTCAATACAATTATGGTGAAAATAATTGGTTAATGGTATGCTCCTTAGGAAAAGGATAGTCTTTGGGGTAGAGCCGTAGAGTGCTATATTTTCCCACAAGTGAAATTTTCCAATAATGTGAAATTCACCGTCTCTTTCTTTCTTTCTTTCTTTGTTATTATATTATTATTACTATATATATATGTATATATTTTTATAAGAGAAATGCTAGCGTCACTCTTTCTGTCAATCTCTTTGTCACTTTTTGGATTCACTGTTTGACACATATAGCCCACTATCTCATTTTCTATTTAAATAATAATATATCGTGTTAATGGAGTCCAGATGTCAAATAGTGAAGGCATATAGTTATAGAGAGAGTGAATGCAGAAAGTGTGACGCTAGCATTTCTCATTTTTTTATAATCATGTGATATAGTTATGAATCTACATTAAGAGTGTAACGCCTCAATCCCTTATGGGGTCCACCTTGCAGGAGCCCCGGCATAGTCGGGTCTTATACTCGTTACTCATACGCACTGTCCCCTCTGAGCACCTAGTGGCCCTTAGGGATTTCTTTCGCGTCCACCAACACTGGAACCCAAGACCTCACTCCTTGTAAGGTTCTTAAGTCAAGTGTCAGTACCGATTGACCTTGAAGGTACCAACACTTGACTTAAGAACCTTATGAGAAGGGAGATCTTGGGTTCAAGTGTTGGGGGACTCTAAAGAAATCCTTGAGGGCCACTAGGTGCCCAAAGGGGACAGTACGTATGAGTAACGAGTATAAGACCTGACTATGCCGGGGGTCCTACAAGATGGACCCCATCAGGGTTGAGGCGTTACAAAGTTTGGTAGGAGGGAAAAGTGGGAGGAGGGTATTAGTGAAAGGATTTTGGGACCCACGGTTGTGTGGTAGGAAAGGAAAAGGAGGCAATAGAACGGGTGGGAGATTTCAAATCACCTCTCCAAATATGGAGAGATTAGAGAAGGGAATCCATAGCAAACATAATAAGAGTCAAGAGAAAGGCTCTTCCCTTCCTCTCTATTTTCCTTACCTAGGTCATATACATTTCTTTCCCTCTAAGCAAACATATCCAGAAGATCCTTAGTTTTGTAAGTGAAAGCCCGCGAAGTCTAGTTTGGCGGCAACATATGACTATCTGACCAACTATTTTTGACGTTTTATTGCAATCTACTTTTTAACATAGCTTTGTTTTGTTTGTTTGTGTTTTTTTTTTTTTTTTAAAGTAATTTCGAAGAGGTTATCATGAAGTTCGCACAATTAACTCCTCAAGAAAGGACAAAAAGGTGCTAAAGAAACTTACTATGACTTTTTTGCCTCTTTCATTTCATAGGCATGTATGAATTTGGATACTTAACTAACTGGTCTTTCTACTGAATGGAACAGGAAATTGGAGAGTCTTGAAGTAAAGATTCTAGCAAACTATCCTTTCAAATTGATTGTTGATCTCTTTCATTTTTATATGTAAATTTTTGAACCTCCAGAAGTTTATACATATTTTATTGTTCTCTTTGAGCATATAGGCACTGAAGAAAACTTTTAAGAAATTGGACCATGACGTGAATATACAAGATTTTATGCGGTCAAGGTTTGTTCTTTACTCTGTTAAAAGTTTTTAGTTCCTATTTGGATACAGCTGTTGGAAAGACCTAAATTTGCCCACTTTTGTATCTTTGCAGCACTCCGACAGTTGAGGTACAAATTGTTTTCCAGCACGTTAATTATGGGCGAAGAGACCATATTGCCGGAACGTGCACCTGCATCGGTCAAGCTGGCATTCACACTGAGTATTATTTGTGCCATCTTGACTGGTGCAGTCACAGTGGCTAATATGCAGATGAATATGTTTTTCTTTGTTAAAATTGTTTAGCTATAATTCGTTACAATAAAATGCTGTGCGGTTAATTTATTGGCAGGATTTGACTAGTCAAGTTAGGGTATTGCAAGCCCAACTGACAGGACTGCAAAGGAGACTGAGGTGCACCTTTGGAGCTTTTGGTTCTTAAAGTATTGCTTTTTCTTAGATTTTATTCTTTGGAGTTGGGGTTATAGATGTGAACTATTGAATCCACAAAATCCTTTTCCAACCGGGATTTTAACAATTTCACACGGCCTATGTCCCAAATCAAGGGCAACACAAATGAAGAGTTTTTTGAGCCTGTTTTTTTACTCTCATTTTTTCGTGTTTGGTATATTTTCTTTTGCATGCTCATATACGATGAGCATGATATATGTCCATATTTTTTATTTTTTTAGGAAAAAAGAGAATGACATACGTCCTTAGTTGCATTGATACTTTTCATGAATGTATATCAAGTTTACCTTGTCGTGTTTCTCCGTTCAAAGTTTCAAAAGACTATTGATCATGGTCACAATTTGTCATAATCTCCACATCACTAAATTAGCTTGTAGATGCGGTCTGTTGTAATCAACTTAGTATTTTATTTTTACATTTTATTTAATTCTTCGTGGTGGTTTCAGTTCAAATACGCTAACATGCTAATAAAGCATGGCTGAGTGAGGAATATGCACGTTTCACTGGTATTATTAGGTAAAATCTTAATCTACCTTGCCGTTTGCCCAAAATTTTCAGCTGCTGGAATAATCCAGATAACATCAACGACTTAGAACTTCTTAGACAAATGGAAGACTTGCTTAGGGAGTCAATCAACCGAATACAAATTTACAAGGTATTTGTTTTCATTTTTCCTTTCTGAGATTATATAGGACGAGTTTTCTCTATAATTCTTCAATTCTTTTCGAAGTTTCAAATGAAATTGAGTCCAATTATAAGCTTTATAAGCAAAGTACGTTTTTGGTTATCATTTATCGTGTTTCTCACATGTTGAGTGCTGACTCTACTGAATTTCTAGACGTTTCTAGGAATAGGGGAACATCGCTAAGTTATCTAGCGATCCTGATGTCCGTGAATTTTTTTTTTTCAAGAATTTGTTATTTTTACTACTTTTTGCAGGAAAATTTTGGAAAGCAGCATCTAATGCCAGTAACTTGCATGAGCCAGGTGCAAAATTCTCTCTCTCTTTCATCTATCCATTCACCCTGGTTGTTTTGGAGATTCAGACTCGTTGAGAAAATCTGATTTCAATTTCCTTGCAGTTTCAGAATGAGATTACTTTACCTCTTGTAGTGGGTGGTGTACAAGAAGCTCAATCTGTACTATGGATTCCAAACAACGAAAACCGACCACTGATATTACCACACGAGCCAAACTTTCTACCGCATGGGTGAGTGACTTCTTCCACCAAATACCCCTTAGTATGTCATTATAGATGATGGAGTGTTTTATTTCATTCAGATAATCCTTTTTTGCTTGATTTATATATATTTGAATGGATATTTGCTAATTGTTAGTCTGACATTTATTAAGAGTCAAACTTTTTATTAAGAGCCAATTTTGGTGTTGCATTTTCATACCCATGTGCATGAACAAACTTATGGTATAATCTTTTTAATGAAATCTTTTGACCATTCTCTGTATACCCCACTCCTGTTTTCTTGTTTCCCTCCCATAGGGATGTCCAGTGCGCCACGGATGCCTTGCTTCCAGGATGCTCCAGTTACTTTAGCAGTGGCTGTGGCAAACAAATGGTGGTTGGTGATTCAGGACAGCTCAACAATATAGAAGAAGGGGGTTGTGCCTTGAATGAGCTAAGTAGAAGTGGTGCCGGCTTAAGTCTAGAATTTGGAGAACAGTACGCATATCCTTCGTTCGGTACTAGTACGATGGAAGATAAGAAAATGAAACCCGATGTAGAGATGAATCTACAAGCAACTTCTGTGGATTATCAAGTAAATAGAAGTTGTGAAATGCCTACATCCCTATATGACAACACGCAGCAAACTTGGGTATCTGCCTTTGGACCTTGCGGCCTTGCTCTACACAGCGACAACGCCTGCCAGCAGGTGTGTATTCCCGTGATTCTGCATTTCTGTTTCTTATTACGTTAGACCAAGTCCAAATTTTTTGTGTGGCCTATTTTGGATAAAAAGAAACCAGGGATTTGCACTTTTTTTTTTTTTTTTTTTGTGTGGCTTCTAGTGTATCGAAAACCTGAATGTGATGCAGTTATTTTATTCTATCTCTTGCAGCAATTAAAGTGATCCTATACAATGATGGCTGAAAGAGACCATGGCTGTGGACTGGATTTGAAGATTATTCTTGGGGCAATTGCTTCTCGCTGAGTTAATTGCTGTATTGTCAAAATTTGTTGTGTGGTTATTATCAATCCATGGGTTCGTATACCAATTTGATCGGTTTTCTACTGCATATTTTATCTGTATATACTGCATAAGAAATATAGATTCATAGATTTTTCTGTATATTAACTATGTTTCCTCTTCAATGTCATGAGAGGAAGAGTGTATGATGTAAATTTAGGTCAAATAATTCATGTTGTATCATGTATGCGACGGAAATGTGATTAGAATCGAGGCATTTTAATTGAAGACGACTTCTGTTTGAGCTCCGAACTTACTCACCCTCGAAGAACTTTTAACTGAAAATAAAAACAAAACTATGAAAGCTAGGTAGTAGATGTGATTAGAATGATAATATTAACGCCATTCGTGGTCCCCTGTACATTGGTAAATTCCTTGTCTAACATTGATCCCCAAAGTGTCTCATCGCAAAACATTCACTCTTAATCTTATAAAACAAATGATGAAACAGGTTTAATTTCCTCAGCTTTCCTTCTTGGCTGTGATCTTACTTGCCCACTAGTGTTTGGACAATGGTGTTGTGCCATGGGTCGGACAGGTGCTGCAAAAGGTTGTCGAATGGTCCTTGGCCGGTCACATTGTGTTGCACAATGAATCCCAAGAATGCCAACATAGCCAATCTCCCTGCACAAATACAACCGAAACAAGAAAATTATCTCAAATCCGACAAAATTTACAGTTAAACATCGCAAAATGTGATCAGACTAGAAAGGAGTTTACCGTTGGCGAGCTCCTTCTCCTTGGACTCGAGAGTTGGGGCAAAGTTGAGGGGGTTGAAGATGCTGCCGGGGTATCCACACTCGTGGGGGGGCAAGCTGTATTGCTTGAAGATGGGGTCTTGGTTGACGCTTCCCGGGTTCTTGATGTCTTGCCACCTTCTGATCTCGACGTAGTGGAACAAGATGAACTCGATCACGAAGAGGGTCGAAGAAGAAGCAAAGTACTCTTCCTTCCCAGCATCATACCATTTGGGGGCGTTGAGGATACCAATCTTGGTGAAAACTTCTGGCAAAAGCATGCCTGCAACTCCCAACATTGCCCAACGCCCGTTGACGAGCTCGGCTTGGACGAACCATCTTAGGTTCTCTGGGTCCTCAGCTAGTCCCAGAGGATCAAATCCATTGTCACCAGGAAGACTGAGCATGCACACAAAACATGTCTCAGAAATTTTACTTGGAATTAGCCCAAGTTTAAGTCTACAAGTAAATACTATCTAAATACAATTTAGCTTAAATTTTGTACACATAAGGATGTGATTGACAACTTTTAACTTGTTTCTGTTAAATGTAGTTTATAACTTGTGGTGGTGAGAGAATTGTCACATAGTATGACCTGTTTTTCATAGCTTTTTACACACAAGAGAACCACGACATAAATGGTAACTTTTAGTTCACAAGGAGCTCAAAATGGAAGATTTTGGACTTAAAAATGGCTAATTAGTGAAATCAAACAAAATAAATGTCTAGGCTTTTTTTGAAGTTCACTTGATTAATGACATACCTGCCATTGAGGTAAGCTGGAGAAGGCAGACCGGGTAACCACTCGCCTTTCTTAGCTTCAACTTTAAAAGCACCACTTGATGAAGCAGTCCTAACTGACACTTCTCTGTTCAATTTACCCGAGGAGCCAGTAGGGAACCTCGATTTTGCGGCGCAGGGCCGGAAAACTGCGGCGGTGGCTTGCATGGTGATGGTCGCCATCCCTTTTTTTCCGGCTGGAGATTGGGATGGAAAAAATTTGATTTTGAAGTAAGGGTGGTGGTGGTAGACTAGAGGTAGAGGTACTAAATGAGAAAGTTTTGTGTTTGTGCATGGCTTTTGTAAATTTCATAACATGTCATTTTTGTGGTTCTTGTTGTTTGTTGAAAGTTGACGGTCGATTTCAATGATTTTTGGGATCGGACGGTGGGGATGCGTTTGTGGGTTCTGGAGTAGCCAATGGGAGTGATTGTGCCTTATCTTGTTATCTTTGATGGTGTATCCATAAATCTATTTCTTTGCGGCAGTTGGCTGATAAAAGATGTTGTGGGGTCAAGTTTTTGAGCCACGTGAGAAGATTTTTTTTAGCTGGATATGATGAGGTAGAATATCCTCCCACGTGGCTTACTCTCTGATAGGCATCCTATCAGAGAGTAACACGTGGCTTATTCAAATTACATCTTAGCAAGTGATTTCTTATCTTTGTTTTTATTTTTTTTTATAAGTTATGTTTCTCTTAATTTGGGCTTGTACAAGACAGTACCAATGTTGCGCTTCAATCTTTATGGTTGCTAAAATCATATCAAGACTATATATGGAGGAGCAAGATTTTTTTTTTTTTTCAAAAACTTGGGACGGTATGAAAATACATGAGCTAGATGGTATTTTATTAAATGGAGGTATAGTGATGTATTTCAATTATTTAATGGGGGCATAGCTATAATTTTCCTTGTCAAAATGGGGTCATAACTAAAATTTTAGAAAATTTCATAGATAACAATAAAAATGTCAAAATTTGACAATGCGGCTTTGCCTTTGATGAAAAATATCAATTTAAAGGAATTTGATAAATATATGAACTATGGAATGTCATCTAGGGTGTGTGTGTATACTACTGAATAATTTTCTATTTTTATTTTATTGCTATAAAATTTATCAATATGCTTGCAGGATTAATAAATCTAAGATTTAAGAAAGAACATAAATTGTGTTATGATGGTAAACTCTAAATATTTACATTGTAAATCCAGCATTTACGAATAATGCAATATGTTTTGATTAGTAAAAATAATATAATTCAATAACAGTAAATTTTGATTTACTCTTTAAATCTAGGATTTATAAATGAACATATGTTTTCTGATGGTAAATTCAAGACAATAAATTCAAGATTTACGAATAACGCAATATGTGTTTTTGATGGTAAATCTTAAGTTTACTATGTAAATTCATGACTTTTGAATAACAATATATGTGCTTAATTTGATGGTAAATCCTAGATTTATCACGTAAATTCAGGATTTAAGAAGGAACATAAATTGTGTTTTAATGTTAAATCTTAAATTTCTACTGTAAATTCAGCATTTACGAATATCACAATTTGTGTTATAATAGTAAATCCTAAATTTACCGTACAATAGTTCCTAGATTTACGAGCAGAACTAAAAAAAGTTTACCTTATATTAGTAAAGTTCTAAATTTACCTTGTAAATCCAGGATTTATGAATGAATATAAATTATGTTTTGATGGTAAACCCTAGATTTATGAAGAAACACAATTCGTTTACATACAATGAGAGAGAGAGAGAGAGAGAGAGAGAGAGAGAGAGAGGAGAGAGAGAGGGAGGGAGAGGGAGGGAGGGAGAGAGAGAGAGAGGGAGGGAGGGAGAGAGAGGATACCCATAAACGACAAATAGAGAGAGACTAGAAAAAAGAAGATCTAGAAAAAGAAAAAAAAATAAAAGAGAAAGAAAAAAGGTAAACTTAAACATAAAAAAGCCTATTAATTTTTATACAATAGTTATTTGTTATTTAGTAGGTTTATTTTCTATGATTTCCAAAACAAAACAAAAAATCTTTAGCTTTATACAAGTGAAATCTCCGTTTTAAAATTATAGGTATAAGGTATTTTATGGTTGCTGATTTCTTAACAAATCTTGGTTGATATTATAAAATAATATTAGTTCAATTAAAAACTGAAAAAAAGCAGCAAATGCCCTAAAAGTGAAGTTCATGAAGCATTCAGCTTTGGTGGGTGCTTGACAGAAATACCACATTAGAAGTCACCTAACTTCTTGCAAAAGTGGTACAATATAAAATACTGTTCGGAAAATTAATGGCATCGAGTGCGCAGCGGAATTTAAAAATTTTAATCAACGTCAAAGCCAAAACAAGAACATGTTCATGATGCTATATAACATAAATACTAAAGATCTAAAACATACCTTTTGAGATTTCAGAAAACTACACGTCTGACAGATCTAAGCGTTCCAAATAGCAACCGGAAGAGCCTCAACCAACTGGTCTTCTTTGCTATTCTCGTTTCCACAATCGGTGTGCGGGTGGGCACACATCGTTTAATCTCCTCTAGGTATTCTTGATCTCCTTCCAATCACAAGAGAGCCAAAGAAAAAATTGTTCTTGAGAATTAAACAATTTTTCCTCTCAGGAATCTTTTATCAATAGCCTCCAAAAAGTCTCTCAAGTGATCTAATGAGTAATGTGACTTAATAGGCTATTTATAGTGTTTTGGAAGTCATACTTCCGTAACAATTAGGTTTCCCAAAGTTCTAATCGCATCCAGAGTTGATTTTCCCACGTCAGCATGCATTTTACGTTACAACCGGTCAACTGGTGACAGAGACGTTATAACTCACCGGTCGACCTGTCTTCACTAACCGGTCGACCTGTGACCGGTCTACCCAACCGGTCGACCGGTCTGCACTGACGAAAGTTGTTTTTCCTAGTTTTTCAATACGGGAAACTTGCATAGAGCCTCAGTTTTGATTCAAGCAACCCAATAGAGAAATTACCTGATCAAAACAGTCATATAATAGTCCTCCCATATTAAACAACTCTTAAAATAATAATTCAACCAATTTATCTAGAATTAATTTATCAATTAATTCACTTTTTTTCTCGATTTATATAGCGTATTTACAAAACTCTGATTAGCTCATTCCATGACTCAATATATTAGTGTATCATCCCTATAGGATATCCGTAATCGACTTGAGGTCAAGTTCCGTTTTACCTTCCCGATTACATTTATCTTATGTTCCATTATCATACCATCGGAAAAATACTATTCGTATAATTACAAACAGTAAACCATTAGTAACACAGAGTAGTCCAATGGCTGAGCGCTCATTTTTTTCAATCCACTGATAATGCATAAGAGGATATCATTGACTCTTTATATGAGCTATGGATTCCACTATCTATGAATAACGAATCTACGCATACACGAGTCATACCCCCAATGTACCGGCAAGCGTACCTTTACATAATGTCAGGATGTCTCCCTTTAGTACATCAAAGGATACAAGTCCAGTATACAGGTTCATCATCCATCTCAGGATTAAGATGACAACATATAATTCGTCAAAAGTGAATTGTTTTATTCAAACAGAATTATTAATTAAAACAATTCAACTTTGGTCCGATCCAATATAGATTTCACCATTAGAAACTATATCAATGTCTCCACCCATGGAGTCCCACCTCCGACGACCAAGACAAGCCGTCTCCGTTAGGAAGTAGACAACATAACAATCTTAACATGAATAAAGCGCCCAACTTTATTCCCTCGATTGTGGATCATAAGATTTAGACTATCATCTTTAGATTCTTGTCTTCCGCATGTTCTTCACATTACATGCATGACCTAAAGATTTAGAATGACAGTCTCAGACTTTCAGTTTGCTTATCATACATTCAACTATTATGAACATAAAGAGGACAATTCATAGATATATAAAATAAACAAATCTTTATTAATAGTCAAAATATCTCAAAGAATATTGTTACATTTATTCCTAAGGGCATAAACGCTAACAAATACGTGATACGACCAAAAATAATTTAATTATATTGGTCTATCCTAAACTTATAAATACTTACTAATTTGAACTCTGATTTTTTAAATTTAGTAAATAACATCATAAATTTAGAAATTTATTGTAATTAGTCTAAAAGCCAGCAGAGGTTAATTGATGGAAGAAAATCACCCTATATTTTTACACAAATTCATCTGAAACTTTCCGTGGGTTGGTAACTAGGACTATGAACTTTTTAATCTTATTTTGTAGTCGTCCATTAAATGGCATCCATTGTTGATTGAATTTTCAAATTTAAGGTTTTAAATGTCAAAATTAAAAATTTAAAAGGCAGATTACAAATAACAAAAAATGTAGTCTATTTTACACATTTGCTCCTGAATTTGTATGGTTTTAGTAATTTACCCCATAAACTTTTAATTTTAGCAAATTACCCCCTTAACTTGTAAAATTATTGTAATGTGTCACATTTTGACGATGATTGTATAAAATTAGTGTCGAAAAAGCACATTCGACGAAAAATTTTAATATCTCAATTCTAATGTAATACAAATCTTTCAATTTTTCAACTTTTAATCCCCTAAATCTAATAAAAACATTTGAGTAAATTTAGTAAAATTGAGCACATAGTAACAATTTTACAAGTTTAGAAGTTGGTTGTCAAAATTAAAACTTTGGGAGTTTTTTTGCAAAAGTACAACAAGTTTGGAGAGCAATCGTCTAAAAACCTAAGAATTTTAGATACGCAGTGCAAAATACTACATTCTTGATGGATAACAAGCTAAAGCTGCGAATCTTCGACTCATCCTCTCCGCCCCATAGTGGTTCCATCTGCCTCAATTTTCAGAGTAGACAGTCACGAGGACATCTCCTGTTAACATAATAAACTTTATGGATTGGAGAGAAACTAACCGACTACAATTGGTAATCGAGTCAATTCTATAGACTCTATTTTATTTAAAAAGAGGCGATGTAATTTGGAATTACATTTTCCTTGTCGCAATAGTCAAATGCAAATTATGATTTCTACCACTTCAGAAATCTAACTTTCATATGTGTTATTTTTATGCGAAACTGGGTTTAATTTTTATTTTTATTTTTACAGGAATTGTGAATTCAGAATTCTGCAAGTATTCCTCTAAATCACCTGCCAATTCCGTCGAGAATACCAAACTAGGTATTAAAGAAATTATATTGACACCCAATTTTTTTATTAAGGCATCCCATTTTAAAAATAGAATATTTTATTACACTTATACCCTCACATACTAAATAGTTTTACATTGTCTTATTGCAAGTACACCCCACAAAGCTATTTTTTTATTTTTTAATAAAATAATTAGTAATAACTGATTTTGGATCCAACCCACATAACTTGGATGCTTTTTCAAATCATCAACATCAAAATTCTTTTGTTTTAAAGGGAAAATTGTAAACTCAAACAACACAAGATCTCTCTTGAAGTTTTTGTTTTTGTTTTTTTTTTTTTCTCTTTCCATCATTTTTTATTTTTTATTTTTTTATCATTCATTCATGTTAAGGTAGAATTGTTGTGATTTAATGATGTATTAGAAAACCAATAAACAAATATCAAACGAATAGATGTATATATAAGATTTAAATTAGATTCAAATATCAAATGAATATATATATATATAAGATTTATAAATATATTATATATAATGATGTATTCAGTAATTTTGTTGGAAACCCATTTCAACAGATTAATAAATACTACCTTTACAACGATAAGAATGATAATTGACGTGTGAATGTGTGACAGAGAGTGAGGGGAGAAAAAAAAAAGACGCTGAAAATAAACAATCAGAGGTGGATGTTGGAGAAGCGGGATGCTGTTTTGTTCTTTTTTCTTAAGTTGTCCCTTTTAGTCATTTTGTTAATTATGGGGTGCCTTATTTTATAAACGAAAATAGTAAAAAATATGCCAATATGAGAAGCTTAAGAAAATATGTAGGCCAATTTTTAGTTATAGAAATTAATAGGCCATAACTTGTCAAATTATGGTTCATAATCAAATAAATTATAGACAAACTTGTCAAGTTAAGATTCATAGCCAGACAAGTTATGGACAAAAACCGTAAATTATAGACAATAACTTGTCAAGTTAACCAGACAAGTTATGAACAAAAATAATAATTTGACCTATTTATTAACTTATGTAAACTATTAATCTATTAATTTTAATTCATCTCAAATCTTGATGTATTTATCTCATTTCCCTTTTATAAACGGGTGCCAATGAAATTTACCAAGGTGTAATTGTCAAGTTTTGAATTTAATAGGCCCAAAAGAAATGGAAGAAGTCCTTGGGCTTCCACCTATGAACAAATAGGGAGAAATACGGAAATCATGAAAATATGAGTCTTGACTTTCATTATTTACTTTTAATAAATACCTTTTTTTTAGTGTAATTATAAGGTTATAAATTAAGAATAATGGGTAAAAATGCTGTTACTCGGAAATCATTCGAAAGATATTAGGCTTTATGTCATTCAATTCAAACAAAAATTATCCTAAATACCCTACCAGATTTTTTTTTAATAAAAATGACCAGATATTGTTAGAGAGTAGTCTGGTAGAATATGTTTGATATTCTTCTAGAATATTTTTTTAGAGAAAATACAACAAATAGTATATTTCATACATCTAAATGTAATATGACTAATCACAGGCGTCAGCTATGGTGGACCTAATTAGAGGGTGGAAGGAGAGAGATAATTAAGAGGTATTTTTGAGTTTTTAATATTGTTGAAAGTCTAAAATATTAAATTATACTTCAAATAATTTACAAATCACCTTATCAAATATGTATTTCTATCTCCCTTTTATTTTAAAATCAATAAAGATTGCACAAATGTAAAACTGTTAATTTTGATGGCATATTACTAAATTTCTCGAACAAACATCCAAAAGCAAAAAAAAAAAAAAAAAAAGAAGGGAAGTATGCCGCCGTAACTTTCTTTTTCAATTTTGCCACGCTCTTCAGATTTTGCCAAGTTAATATATATAGGGAGAAAAAATGTGGGTAAAATTTTCTAACGTTTAAAAAAGAACCTCAATCTTTACGCTCATCCCACCAGAGGACCATTCCTCCCTATTTGCCTTTCAAAAAGCTCTGAAATGATTAATTCAAAACTTGCTTCTCTCAGCTAAAACAGATACTTCTTCCCTTGGCAAAGTTAGTGTGTGTGCCCCATAACCCATCTATTCAGTTTTGTGCCATTCTTTTACAATTTTTATATCCTCATAAATTTATATATCAAAAGAAAAATAAAGACAAAATCTTAATATTTAAACAATAACATAAATCTTGATGCTCTAGAAAGGGATTTCTTCTAGATTTCCATTTCACAAGCTAGACGTAGACGTGTAATTAGTCCAGAAAAGTGTTCATCATTTCTGTTGTGCGCAACATGTAAGCAAAATTTGATTTTCTTCTCAAAGCCAAAAGTACTCGTTAGTTTACAAAGTAAAAATTAGATCTAGCCAGGTCGAACAGTACTTAGTTTTGTACCATACAGTTATAGAAAAGAAAAATATTCCCATACAAAAAAAAAAAAAAAAAGGTTGTTTTAATTTCTTGTTTAAGGGAGAGAATGAGAAAGATATAAGAGTCCCACTTTCATAAAACACAACACTGATACAAGTTTTATTCAACACAGTCTTACAGCCTTACAATGCCCTAATAAATTAACCACATAACAAAGAGCCATGTGACAAAAGCTGACAAGTACAGTTCTCCATATATAAGAAGCTTGTTTCTCATAAAGGAATACATAATAATAATGAAACCCCTAAGAATTAATATCAAAATTAAATAACCCGGAAAGAGAAAAAGGAAAAAAAAAAAAAAAAAGAGTATATAATATATATATATATATATATATATATATATATATGACTAGCTAGCTGGGGCAATATTAAAATAAGCCCTTCTCATTATAATTTTGACCCTAATAAAAACTAAAACTACCAAAGTGACTCTTACACAACACCCAATACTCTCCAAAACTAAATCCCAATTCAATTATTAACTGGGTAATTTTCTTTCTTTTTTTTTATGTTTTTTTGGTTGAATTTTTTGTGGGGTTTATTTATTAATTAATTACTTTGTTCAAGGGAATTGTTGGCCAGTAAAGGTTTGGCCAAAGGACCACCCAGCAGGGACAACATTGTTAGAGACAATAGTTCTTCCATCACTAGTGGTGACCTTAAATGAGAGGCTTTGTCCATTTAGGTAAGAGTTGCTTTGCCAATTTTGCCCCCAGTTTCTTGACATTGGTTGCCAGCCAGTTCTGGACCCTTTGATTGAAACGGTATGCACATCACCAGCTCCTCCAACGTTGGTGATCAGCACCAGATTGAAGTATGAATGGCCGTTGATTGTGAATCTTATGCCACCTCTTTTTCGGCATGGGACCCTACATAACAAAAAAAAGTATATTTTATTATGACGGAAAAAAAAAGGATAAGAAAACAAAACATGCAACATAATAAAAAATAAAAAATAAAAAAAGAGAAGAAGAATCTGGCCGCTTTCTTATCGAGAAAGCAAATTGGTAAAATGGATAAATACAAATTAATAAAAGAATGTTGTTGTTGGTGACGACGATGGGTTTTGCTTGTAATGTTCTTCTCTTTTGTTAATGATGAGTTGCCTAATAATACTTTTCAAAAAAACATACTTACGGGACCCATACGTATCACGTGATTGTGATTAGTTGTGCATATAATTATTTCCAAAGTACTAGCACGTTTGTGAACATAATTATTTAAAAATTACGTGGGATGCATAGTTAGAAGAGAGGTTGAAAAGTAAAAAGAGTATGTAGAACCGCCCGTACATTATCTCACGGGATGAATTCTCAAGTATTCTTAAAGAAAATCTAAAGAAGTACATCACTAGGATAAATATTTATGCCTTACTTATAAGGTTTCTACCGTCGTTTTATCTTTACCCTCACTTCATCAATTTAGATTTTAACTTAAACCAAGATAATATAGCATAAAAAAATAAAAAAAAATAAAAACTAAACTAAAGAGATCGACGAGGTAGTCTCCTAATCTCAACTTTTATATGAATTTCTGAGTTAAACACCTTCGATTAAGAGAATAACAACTCTAAAATTACTACAGATATTGAGATTAGAATTAATATTCTTAGCATTGTTATTTCTCCGTATTTTTCTCAAAAGTAAAAGAATTTTGGCCCTTAAAATAAAAATAAAATAAAATAAAAAAGACGCCAGGCCTTCCACGTTAAGAAAGGCAAACATGCAAACAGTTTAACGCGCGCGTGAATATATATATATATATATATATATATAAAATATATACACACACATATAAATATATAAACACATATATATACCTTCTGTAAGAGATAGGGACAATCCCAGCTCGGTACTGAGCAATCTGCTGGAAGACTGGCTGAGAGAGATCAAAATGCTGCTGGGGAGGATTGCACCACCCGCCGGCGTTGTTGGGGAGGGCGTTGTTTGGGGGGCAAAAGTTGGTTGCCGTCACCACAACGGACCCCGGCAGGCACCACTTTGGATCACTCACGCACTTTATCTCAAAGCACGCTCCGCAGCTCATCCCGTTGTTGAACAGCGCCGTGCTCAGCGCCGCCGTGTTCGTCCCGTACCCTTGGCTGTACAAGTTTCCGTACCCGCATGCCCCGCCTGTAAAATTCCGATCACACCAATTAGATTTCTTTGTTTTTTTTTTTTAACTATTTACGTTCTGTTTAATTTTGATACGATTTTGATCAGATCTTCGTGAACTATAACACGACCAAAGTGTGGGACCATAAGTACTATCTCACGAAGGTTAATGTAATTATTAGTTTATCAATCTATTTAAAAAGCTTAAGCGGTTAGGAGGTCAGTTAACAAAAATTTTATATTTTAATATTTCTCTTCACATGTGGGTTGGATAATAGGTAATGGTATAGGTAAATTAATTAGATTGGACGATGGATAATGGTGTGGGTCAATTAATTGGAAAACCCACCACGAAAAATATTTAATAATAAGCCCGAAATATATTAAAGACTCAACATATGATGACAATTTAAATAATGATAAAAAGTATAATTACAAGAATTTAAACTTAAAACCTCTTATTCTGATATCATGTTAGTTTATCAATTTATCCTAAAAATTTTAATTTAATATCATGTTAGTTTATCAATCTATCCTAAAAATTTTAAAAAAATGAACCAATAATTATTTTATACTTTAAAAGTAATAAAGACAAAAGACTACCGGAACTTATAATTGCCACACGCATTGTGTATTATGATAACATGTGCTGTTAGTACGTATGTGTTAAAATGTGCATCATATAAAATTTAAAACTTATATGAATCTTAATAAGGTAAAAATATATATTTTACACTAGATATGTACGGAAAAATCTCTCACATATTCAATTGTATTGGTCTAAGTACTTACCCATTGTGCCAGAGGCATCTCCTCCTCCATAGAAAGTGGCATGAGCGTCCGACCAACCCTCACCATATCCATGAGCAAACAAGCCCATGGAGGGAAATCCTATGGCCATGATGAATACCACAAGATTTGCCGCCATTTTTGCGTCGTACATAGAATAAATGTATATTTGCTCAAGAAATCTAAAAAATCCTTAAGTGGGTACTTTAATTTAGACTGAAATATTGTAGAGGAAATAAAAGAAACCTTTCTTGAGAGAGAGTGAAAAACGGTGGAAAATTTTTTGTGTGGAAATGGAGAAGGGTGAGGTGAGGGATAAATAGGGGGTGGGGGTGGGCAAAATTGGGAAAACACTAGTTCTTTTTTTTTTTTTTTTTTTTTTTTTTTTTTTTTAATGGGGAAAACCTTTTTTTTTTTTTTTTTTTTTTTTTTTTTTTTTACTAAAATGGGAAAACAGTAGTGCTTGGAAACGTAATAAGCTGCAACTGACATTGTTTTGAGGTGTGAGGAGCTGAAACCGCCAAGTCAAGTGGGGTTTTGTGTTACTCACAAAACAAAAGGCACTTTCCTTAAACCACGTGGTTTTGTGTCTTTGTTCTTTCTTTCTTGTGTACGTGTATAACTGTAGTAGTATAATTTGTAGGATATAGGGTTCGGCACCCCAAAAGTGGTTTTGCTCTGCCTCTCTGAATGTCTGAAATTAACTGTCGCTGCCACAAGTGGGCAACGGCCCTTTTAATTACCTTAAACTTTCTGGTTTTCCTTCTTTTTTTTTTTTCTTTCTTCTCAGTCTTGTAAAATTTAAATCTCTTTCATTTCACCGATTTGAGTTTTATTATAGTAAAAAAATCTCAGAAATAATTACATATAATTTTTTTATTATAATAAAAAATTCTCACATAAAATCACATATCAACTCAAATTAACGAACTAAACAGACTTTTATATCAACAAATTATCCCCAAACAATTGACTAGTTTTTGTTCGTTGTCATATAGAGCTTAAATAATATGTGAACAACTCAGTTCCCGAGAGATCCAAATATTACTTACGTGTTTAATTAATTTAGGGTTAATCTCACACGTAGTCTTAGAGGTTTACACTCAATTTCATTTTATATTTTTGACTTTTTTAACGTCTCACAGTTGGTCTTTAAGATTGTTTCAGTTCAATCTTTCCATTAATTAGTTGTTAATACTTAATAGAATCTTTGCAAATTATAAACTAAATTGAAAACAACTGAAATTTTGAGACTATATGTGGAAACTAACTTTTATTTTCTTATATTGTTTTAGTCTCTAAATTTTATATGTTTTCAATTTTAATCCTTAAATTCTGCAGATTTTTTAAATATTTAACACAAAGTTAATAAAAAGACTAAAACAGAAACATAATACAACCTTAATGACTAATTATGAGACATTTAAAAAAGTCAGGAATCAAAATAGAATTAAAAATGAACCTGAAAGACTATTTGTGAAATAAACCCTTTAATTTATAAAATAGTTTAACTGGTTTTAACCACTCTCTAGTTCAAATAAGTGTATGGTAAAGATTTTTAAGTTTCAATTCAAACTATTGATTTGATATTTTGAACCAAAAAAATCTTATAAATATGAGATTATACCCTCCTTTCTTTTCGCGTGCTTTGAACCAAAATTTGAAACATTTTTTTTTTGAACTTTTTATTTCAAATCAAAAAGTTTAAGCCATCATATTTTGAATCTGTTTACCCAACAGTTCAATGTTTCTTCAAAACTATTTGGGTATATATATCGAACATTTGTTCCTATAACCTTTTTTCTCCTTACAACCTACATACACATTTAGTGATAATTCAGCAAAATGCCTATGAGTTGGTGATGTCATCATGCACATATATATATATATATATATATATATGGAACACTCATCAAATTAATTCTTTGATAAATTTTACTAGTGGGTTAACATATAGTACGTGACAAATACAACCCATATAATGCATACATATCTTTGGACACATAGTTTGACGCGCAATAGCAAGGAGCAATTAATACGTTTGATCAGATCGTTCCCCGGATTGCTTCGTATTGTACACGTAGCATAGCTAGATCTGTGTAGTGTGAAAGCATGCATAATTCCAAGTCCAACTGAGGCAATAGACCGATTGTACACTCCTACTTAAATGCTTTTTTTCACGTGTTTTAAAACGCAACTTTTTAGTTTGCCATTTCGAACCAATCTTTTATTAAAAGCTGGTCCTTCTACAACACCTTGTATAATTAGCGTCTGTTTTTAATTATTAGGTCTAAATAAAAATTAAAAAATTAAAAAAAAACATATATGCAGAATAAATAATTATTATTATAAATTATGTAACATTTATCGAGCTATCGGTAGTTTATTTCGTCAAATCTTACGTGAAAATTTCCTTAATTATTAAAAATTTAAATTTTATTTTTCCCCATAAATAAACAGCCGACGTTCCATTCAATGATATCGGTTATAGGCTGCAGAGAGCATATGGGTGATGTGGCGAATGATGTGTGTGTGTGTATGTTTTTATTTACATACATGTTATATAATTAGCAGGGTTATCTCTTCAAGACTTTCGAGTAGTATTCCACGTGAGAAAGACCCAGAAGACTTCAAAACAACATTTATTGCGTATACACATTCATTTACTGCCAAATAATTAATAATTTGTGGTTGGTATCTTCAAAGTATGAAATGAAAACTCATTCAGATTGGCAAAGCTGGGTACTAGCTAGTACCTGGAAATCCATGATTTGACAAAACAAGGGGCTTCCTGATCATCTTTTTTTATCATGATAGCCCATCAGCTTGATTTTTTTTCCTCTCCAATTCATCCACTTGATTTCCCAAATTATTGGCAATACATTGTACATCTATACAATGTATAGTTACAGCTTTTCCTGTTATCTCCTGCAATTTCAATTCCACTTTCTAATTCTTTGTGATACTTTATGACTCAAAATAATAATATTGTTATTTTAACGGTAAGATAACATTAATCCGATAATTATAATAAATAAATAATTCACTAAATTTTTTTAATAATAAAAAAAAATTAAATTCTTATCACGTTATAATAACATTACAAATTTTTATATTTAATTAGACTATAAAAATATAACATCATCATATATTTGTATATATGAATAATTTGTTACTTAAATTATACATGTAGTCCGTAGCTTATCCAAATATTATCTAATCTAAATAGATAATTACCTCATCGATAATATTATATAATGTCTCTTCATAAGGTTATAAGAGCAGAAGGAATTCTTTATAAATTTGAGCCCTTTCTTTTGATCGATCAATTTATGTTTTTTCTTTAATCATGATGCACTTGCACGATTGAACCAATTACTTAAAATATTGGATACAAATATATATATATATATATATATATATAGAGAGAGAGAGACAGAGAAATTAAAAAAATAATTAAAGAGAAGTTCTTTTTGTGGAGAAAAAAAGTAGTGAGGATTTTGTTTTATTATTATGAGGGAGAATTCTATTGTAAGAAATGAAAAAGAAATATCAATCAATAACATACATTTGTGAATCTTTAGATCGCATCACTAATAATAGTACAACTCTATTAAATAAAAAAATATGATAATTTAACCAAACTTTAACAAGCACATGATGGTTCCAAACTTTTGCTGCTTCTAATTCTAAATATATATATATATATAAAAGAAAGCTGATCATCAAATTTAGTACGCATGAGGGAAGCGTAGGAGGTAATGCCACGTAGCATGAAAGCTTATCGTGGAAAGCAACTTGGAAGTGTTTTCAGTTGCATACCTTTTCCACTTGTTCATAAGCTTCGCTATCGCTTTTTGAGAAACTGATCATCAGTTGTTTTTTCCCCCTTTTTTTTCCTTTTTATTATTTCCTTATCTATCACGGATCGTTGTTTTTTTTTTTTTTTTTTTTTTTTTTTTTTTTTTTTTTTTTCTTTCTGCGGAAACAAATAGAACTGAAAACCCCGAACAAAACCTTCAAGACATTTGGAAGAAAAGAAAAAAAAAAAAAAAAAAAAAAAAAAAAAAAAAAAAAAAAAACGTTACAGAGAATACGTGTATATAACAGCTATTGTTTTTAAACCATTATATGCCCATTTAAATTTACCATTGTAAATCATGTCACGACCTTTCACATTTTGTCATCTACCTATATATCAGTGGACGAAGTGATGACCCTCTCTCTCTCTCTCTCTCTCTCTCTCTCTCTCTCTCTCCCCCCTTATAGGACCTGCTAAGTATTTTTATTAGCTGGCAGTTTTGGCAACTGTCTTTGTTGTAAAAATTCAAAAACAGCTTATAAAAGATTCAATACAGATCCGGAAATTCTTATTTGGTGGCATCAATGGATCCGATTTTGTGCAAATTTTATGTTGGTTTGGATCGGATTTAGTGCAACTTACGTGGAGCAAGTTTAAATTTGGACCAGAGTGTGTACTCGGCTCTTGTGCAGGTGGTGAGTTGCTACAGATATCGTGGAGTATTTGAACAAGACTTTGAATCGGATTGTGTGCAAATCTTGTAGAGATGTGAATTTTGAGAAATAACCTTTGAGAAGATAAGAAATCCGGATTGGGATTCAATTATGAGACCCGGCCATTTGTGCAGTTTTTATGGTGAATTTGAATCGAAGATTTTATTTGAATTTCAAGAATATGTGAAGATTCCGATATATACTTGGAGGCTTTATCTACAAGCTGTGAAGGATAATTAGTAGAATATCGAGATAAGAACATAATCGTAGAGTGCAAGCCAAATACAAAATCCGGATGGATATATATTGTTGGGCATTTGAATTTGATTGAGATGCGCATGTGAGACTTGTTCGGATTTAGATAAATATGGAGTATAATCCGATTTATAGTTGCAAAGTTATCTTGATGTGGTGACTTGTTTGGATTGATATCGAGTTTTAATTATATATGAAGATTAAAGTTAGTGCTGCAAAAGTCGGATGGAAGGAATTGAAAATTTGAAATAGATTTGGAACATCTCTTTGCCATAATTTTGTCTACTTGCTGTACAAAGCAATACTTGAGTTTATATCTTGGATAAGTATGAAGTGCAGCAAATTATGAATTAATTTTATTTAAAAGTTGAACGAGGGATAATTGATGAAAATATCCGGATAGTGTACTGGTTGGTTAAATAAGAGATAATTATTTGATATTGATGAAGTTACCTGAGGTTGTTGTGGAGTACAAGTTCTAAATAAACAGCTTTAGACTGCTCACTTATTTGGCACGGATTTAATAGAAAATATCCATAGTATTGAAGTGTTCATCCTTTTTTGAGAGAAGGATTTCTTACTTTTGGGAGGAAGCACTCTGTCAGTTGAA